CTCCTTACTGCTGTCTTTCTGCCACACCCCTGATCTTCTGGTAGGAAAGACCTACACCTAGCCTTCTCGGACAAGGGCGAACAATCTCGGAGGGCCCGTGTGCAAGTTGCGCACGTTAAAGATCCCTTGGGGGTCTAAAATTGATAAGAGTAGGCTTCGGCCGCCACCCGGGCAAAGGAGGTGAGGGGGTGGGGCTGAGAATTGAGACTAAAACAGACGACAGAACATTGTTAGAGAGCAGGAAAGGAGGAGAAAGGAGACATTTTTAGAGAAAAAAATATTTTCGTCGTTACCCGTACCTATTGAATTAGAGGCGAACACCCTAACCTCTAGGCCACGAGAGCCCCCTTCCGCGGGGTGCAAAAATACTGACACGAATTTTGAAGAACCACATGCAAATATTGAACAAGGGTTCTGAACCCTAAGTGTCTTTGCCGAGAAGTCCTATAATAAATGGCACTCCATTGAGTGTTGTGTACTACGTCACTGGGAGAGATCGTGACTCAAACAGGGGGGAGTCATCGTGGTCAAATCAGGCGCTTGTCAGAATAATGAAATCGAAAAAAATTGGCTTTTTACAACCAGTTTGGAATTTTTTTTCCTCAAATTTTTTTTTTTTTTTTTTGGCTCAACACCTTTTATGTCCATTGAAAAACATTCTTATGTGTGGATTTAAGGAAAAACGTTGATTAAAGGCACGAATAATGTAAATTTGCAGTTTCCAAGGACTCGTGAGCTATGGAGGTCACCAAAATTTGGCAGCCATTTTCTCGCTAATTTAACTTCTGAAACCACGCGACCCCCACCTTCTTCAATCAAAAATATCTCGACTTTTGTTCCGTATAAATGGATAATTTTTCATCAAATGCACGGGCAAATGAATAAACTATAGGATGATACCAATAACTCCATATGCCCCAAAATTGACGAGCGCCTGATTCCGCTGCGTCGTGACTCAAACAGGGTTGTCTAGAGTGGTGCTGCAGCAGTGTGTGTGTAAATCTTACCTCTTTATCGACTGGATGATAAGGGAACAAAGGTTTTCTGCAGTTCCAGATAATCAAATCCTCACCCCCCACCCCTCGCCACCCTTGCCCCTTTGTCTGTCTGTCTGTCTGTCTGTCCGTCTGTTTGTCTGTCTCTCTTTCTGCTCTCCCCTCTTTCCTACCAACTGAAAATGTTTAATGTGTCCCGTGCGCTCTTATGACCTTATGCAGTTGCGAGCACCGTAAAACACTTACCAAAAAAACCAGAAAAAAAACCGGCCTCATCTGTCCTGGACAATGGGTGGCCGTGTGAGACAGTAGTGTGGGCAAGTGCTAGGCGGCTATCTTCCCGGTTATTGAAAGCTAGGAATCGACTCCGAACCCAATTACTTACTTTCTAAAAATGTGATTTCTTCCGGTGGTCACCTGGTTGGCTCTGCACATCTTCGGAATCTATACATATTATATTTGTGAAAGTTTGTCACTTTCGCAGCCTAAAACTTCCGAACCACTTAACTTTCGAATTTGAACAAAGTAATGATGGTTCAGAATCATTTAAACGGTGCACAGTTTTACGGAAGAGTCTGAGGTCACTGAAATTTAATTTTCAGTTTTTCATTAGTTTCGTTTAGATCTAATCTTGGGAAAGTCCGTCTTCTAAGACGCCATTGTAAACAAGTGAGGTTTCCGTTCAGTTGCCGTGCGTACTGTTCCACACCTGAAACTCTGGAGTGGACAACCACACATGCGGAATAGAGAATCAATTTATACTTCTATTATTATGTATTTGGCAATTTGGAAACTCATGAGTCACTTTTCTCTCGAGAAATATTGCTCCATTCCAGTAGAGTGTAAATATAGTAGGCCAATGACTTTCAGTTGATGTTACAGCACAGATCATTCCTTTCATCGAAATTGGGCCCCGCTTGTTTTGGATAACCTTGATTACGGAATACTGCAAAGCATGAGCTTTTATTTTTCAAAAGTAAATTCTAAAAGAAAAAGATTGTTATGATTAAAGGAACCGCTGGCTTACGTAAAAAGGGGTCGGAACTTTTCTTCCGCAGCATTAAATCACGTTGGATTCGGTTCGGAATCGGTTCGGGATCGATGCTTCGCCCAGCTCAAGTTAGCACTGCCCTGTCATGATATAGCAGACGTGCTGTGTCTTGTGATTACGGAAACATTCGTCGTCTTGTAGGTCGGAAATCCTGACTTCGATCCCCGTTTAATCAAAGAGATTATTTCTAAGCCGACGCGGTAAAGGGGCCTAGACTCAGTGCAGTAGACCCGTTTGTCTCTAACTTCCTGGCGCTCACGTGACCTTCTGCAGTCGCGAGCGCGTAAAACCTCTACTTTGACTTTAAGTAAAGAAAAAACGAAATTAAAACAAAAACTCTCCTCCCCCCTTCCTTACTTTTAGTAAGAGTTTTACGGCTCTTGCAACACAATAAGGTGATATGAGCGCCAGAAGATTAGAGGTGTTACAAGAGAGTAACAAACATAAAATAGAAGAAGGGGAGACAAGGACGATAGATGTTTGATAGGAAAGAAGGAGCAAACCACACCAGAGCACCCGCCAACCACCCCCACCCCCCTCCAAAACAAAAAATACAGCAAAGCAGAAGAAAAAAAATGACATGAATGGAGAAGCCCGCAATCAGATCAAACACAGGCGAGACGTGACATTCACTTAATCAACACGCGGAAGCTGTGGGTACAAATCCCAGAGGGGGTGTGAACATTCCCACCTTCCGTGCAATATTTATTTCTCTCAACCCCCCCCTGATTGTGAAAGTTCTACAGCCGCTATGGGCACAATGGTGTCACCACGTGGTGGAATCAGGCGCTCGTCAGTTTTTGAGGCATGTGGGGTTATTTGTATTATCGTAAAGCCTGTTCATTTACCTTGCTTTCTATGAAAAAATGCCCATCTATCATGAATAGAAGTTGAGAGACTGGCTATTGAAGCAGGTGGGTCGCCTGGTTTCAGAGGTAAAATTAGTGAGAAAATGGCGGACAAAGATTTGTTATTTCTTTAGCTAAAAAGGCTGTGGAAAGTGAAGACTTACAATTTGTGTGCCTTTAATCAATGTTTGTTTTCTTTTTTAAAGTAAAATTCACATGGAAATGTGTTGTTAAATGGACATAAAAGATGTTAAGCCAAAATTTAAAAAAAAAATCAATTTAAAAAATCCCAAACCTGCGATCAAATGAGAGTTTCTTCACTTTGATTATTTTGACGAGCGCCTGATCTCACCAAGATGCCTCACAATAATAGACTCTTAGACCGTTGACAAGAATGGACAAGTGTCATGCTTTGAAATGGTCTCATTTTGTGTGAAAGTAAGGATATTTAACAAGAACATTTATTCAAAACAGTTTTAGTTTAGTTTTAGTAGAAGTTTTACGGCGCTCGCAACTACATATTAAGGTCATATGAGCGCCAAGGGGTGAATGTCAACATACAAATCATTACATGGAATCAGGCTTACTCTGCTCACTCTCTAACCTCAACAGCACAAAGTCTGCTTCGACTATCGATGTAACAGTTTTAATGTTGTTGTATTGGTTCCACTACTCTGACACGTGATCGTATAGGCTATGTCAAAGATGACACGAAAACTTCACGCTGTAATAATAATATTTTTGAAACATTTAATCATCAACAACAATGAAATGTATGACGTTTACAAAACAAGCTACGACCTTCGAGGACCTATGATCTACAGAAGGGTAACTACTATTTCCTGCAACACTGGTTATAACCTGTCCTTGTCGTTTTATGCAAGAAAAATTATAAAATTATTCAAACTGGGCCCAAAAATGTGAAATTATGTGATTCTGTTAATTTTAACAAAGAATGATGAAGGAAAATAATCAGAAATTATGCAAAAAATTATCAAATTTTGCTGAATTATGCGAGGTGCATAAAACCACGGGGACAGAACAACATTTGTCGAAGAGACGACTGTCTAGCAGTGTACAGGGATATCGTCACTACCCTTCGCCTAACCTACTCTAGCTCCTTCCTCTATGTCCTGTCTCCTCTTCGGACCTTCGGTATATAAGACGCTGGTGTCGCTTTGATCGTTCAGACTTCAATAATTACATTCTGGGTAATTGTTCCCTTCTTCCCCCAGTTCCCACGATCGTATGAATATGCTAAATCGTTGCACTCTCGGGCGTCTATAATCAACATATATTTCGAACACCTTGTCCCAAAATCGTTTCAAGTCCGGTACTTGTAAGTTCCCTATAAAAGATAATATGTGAGGCAGCGTGGTGGAATCAGGCTCCCGTCAATTTTTCGGCATGTGCAGTTATTGGTATCATCGTAAAGCTTGTTCACTTGTCTTTATTTGGATGAAAAAAATATCCATTTATCTTGAATACAAGTCGAGATATTTGCGAATGAAGGAGTTGGGGTCACCTGCGTTCAGAAGTAAAATGAGTGAGAAAATGGCCGCCAAAGATTAGTTATTTCTTTAGCTTAAGAGTCCGTGGTAACTGAAAATTTACTTTTTTGTGCCTTTAATCAACTTTTTCCAGAAAATACCTTACAGAAATGACTTCTTTAAAGGGCATGAAAGGTGTTGAGCCAAAAAACAAATATTTGATAAAAATTCACAAACCAACAGAAAAAAGCAAGTTTCTTCACTTTGATTATTTTGACGAGAGCCTGATTCCACCACGCTGCCTCACATATGAGAAGCGAATCTTATTGCCTTGACTTAAAACGATTCGCTTCTCATATATTTCTTGTAAAGAACACTCAAGTCACGGACTTAAACGATTTTGGGACAAGGTGTTTGAAATATCCGCCTCACGCCAAGGTTCCTTGGTCTACAGGATGCCACCCTGGGCAGTGGCGTCCAGAACAACACAGTTTGTAATTACGCTTCACGCACAGGTAGGGGCGTCCAGAGCAATAAGTGCGCCTGATATTTACGAGCCACGAGCCCTGTGTCTTCACTTTGTTACACTATGGCACCCCTGAAATAGCGGGTCACAAGACAGTGACAAACATACAAAAGAAATAGAGGAAAATGACGACAGTAAGGATAAGGAAAGAAAAATCAGCAGTTTCCTGTTGCAGTTCAGGCACAGTTATGAGCATAACATTGATGAATCAGCCCGTTTACAATTCTTCTGTGCATATTAAGAACATGTTAATTCCCCCCCCCCCCCCCTTTTGGCAATAGCCTAAAGACAGCTTCAGTCAGTGGCACTGCCCTGGGGTGTGTGTTTGTGTGTGTGTGTGTGTGTTTGTGTGTGTGTGCGCGCACGTGTGTGTGTGTGTGTGTGTGTGTGTGTGTGTGTGTGAGTGTGTACGTGGTGAAACACCAAACCAATGTGCCAGGATCTGGAGAATAAAAATGTATCTTATCTTATCTTATCTTATCTTATCTTATCCTGTCTTATCTTATACTCACCAGTGAAGAGGCTGCTGAACTGGTACCACAGCGGCAACAGGGTGAGTAAACCTATCAGCCCCAGGAGCTGTTTGATCTTCCTCCGCGCCATAGCCAGATAGCCAGTATATATCCAGGGAAATCACACACAAACACAACGAGCTGTGGGAACAAAGAAAAAACATTGTTTGTAGTTAAAATATCATATTATACATAATAATATTGACGATTTTTTTTTGGAAAGTGTTTTACGGCGCTCGCAACTGCATAAGTTCATATGAGCGCGCGGGACACACCAAATACTTTTAGTTGGTAGGAAATTTTGAATTTTGACCGGGTGGCGGCTGAAGCCTACTCTTATCGATTTTAGACCACCAAGGGAATCTTTAACGCGCGCAAATTGCACACGGGCCCTCCGAGATTTTTCGCCCTTGTCCGAGAAGGCTAGGTGTAGATCTTTCCTACCAGAAGATCAGGGGTGTGGTAGAAAGACAGCTCTAAGAAGGAGTCAAGGAGTAGCAGTAGAAAGGCTGCAGAAAGAGTCAGGAGCCCAGAGGAGGGGGCAAAGGAGGTGAGGGGGTGGGGGTAGAAAGAGGAGACGAAAGCAGACGACAGAATATTGCTAGAGAGCAGGAAAGGAGGTGAAAGGAGACAAATTTAGAGAAGGACATTTTTCGGTCGCTACCTGGATTCGTACCGGAGACCTTTGAATGAGAGGCCAACACTTTAACCTCTAGGCCATGAGAGCCCCTATTATTGGTGATTATGATTATGATAATAACAATAATAATAATAATAATAATCTATCATCATCATCATCATCATCATCATCATCATCATCATCATCATCATCATCATATTATTATTATTATAATTGTCACCATTGGCAAACCGCATGCCCGTGCCTACCAGAAAGCTCTATGATATCTTTGGCCCAGCAGACCCCAGAACATTCAGAAACATTGACGGCTCCCTGTGAAGTACACAGTGCAAGCAGACGATTAACCGCTCAAACACTAACGAACTGACAAGATTTGGCATTTTCTATAGCTGGGCACCAATTCCCACCTGGATGAAGTGAGGAAAACTCATGTAAACGACCTTTCCAAAAGGTCAGGCCCCTACATGGGTTCGAACCCACAACTTCTCAGATGTAATCCCAACAGCCTAATCACCTTAGTTAGTTTTAGTAAGGTTTTACGGCGCTCGCAACTGCATAAGGTCATATGAGCGCCAAGGGGTTGATGTCAACAGAGAAGTCCAAACGGGGAATCAAGCTTACTCTGCTCACCTCTCTAACTTCAACAGCACAAAGTTTGTTTCGACTATCAAAGCACCCCGGAAATAGCAGTTCACAAGAGAGTGACAAACATACAACAGAAGTAGAGAAAAAATGACGATAGTAAGGATGAGGAAGGAAAAAGCAACAGTTTCCCCTGTGTTGTTCCGGCACAATATGAGCATGCCATTGATAAATCAGTCCATTTACAATTCTACTGAGCATATTAATAAGAACATTGTACTATTCCCCCTTTGGGAATGGCCTAATGACCACACCACGCACGCCACAACAAGTATAAATATCATGGTATGGTTACTTGTATACCCTCCCATAAACCCTGTAACATCTTAGCAAACAGGATGTGTGGGCAGTCACGTATAGTTGGTCAACAAAGGATCGGACCGAAGTTGGTGGACAGTCTTAAAAGTTCATCTCTAATAACCCTCGCCCAGGAACGATAATTCTTGAGTATGAGGGTTGGAATGATCATGATCGTTCTGTACACAAATGTTATAACTGAGATGACAGTCTCTGTAGACAGTGGGGTGATAGAGCGGAGGACATTAATGTTTGTTTTGGTTAGGTTAAGTTTTGGGGTTTTTTTCAAGGAGGGGGTGTGGTTTCTTTTTAAGTGGTTAACTACTTGAACTAATTACTTCCCGGCAAATCTACATCGTCATTAACTAACTAAAGGGAAGTTGAAAAAGCAAACTGAGCGAGTGATTGAATCGTATTGAATCGATTTTACTTTATGACCAGGAAAAGGTGAATCCTTTTAAAAAACGAAGTGGCTAGCCGTACTTAGATTAGGCCCTATAGATCGAGACCTGTCGAGTACACAGGTCTCACTAGTAATTATTCACGTTTAAAATACATGCACTGTCAGTAAAGCACCTTTGGTTTCGTCTCAAATGCAAATACTTTAGGTTTTTAGTTATAATAAGAGTTTTACGGCACTTGCAACACAATAAGGTCATAATATAAGTGCCGAGGATTAGAGGTGTTACAAGAGAGTAACAAACACAAAAAACAAGGAGGAGAGATCAGGATGATAAATGTATGAGATAGGAAAGAAGGAGCAAACCACACCAGAGCACCCGCCAACCACCCACAAATACATTAGGTATTGCAAACTAAAATTTATTTACAATTCAGCAGGCCCTTTTTTCTGTTTGTCAGTGTAACCATCACTATAATATGTACTGCTAGCCTAGCTGTCTAGTTGTTATTAAGTACAGCAGGCCTCTTCCTTTCACAAATTTGTCATGAGGTTTGACTGGGAAGCGAGGAGATAGAGACACCAATCCTTCCACTGAGCAACAGCTGTAAAAACACGAGCATCAGAAAATTTATGGGCTATCGTCGCTCATCCAGATGTTACGAACTCCGCCCTGATATTGACCGCTGTCCAACTTTTAGTGGTGTGGAAGTGAGCTCGAGTGGTCAAGTCTTTATTGTTGAGGCCAGACGGACAATCGGACCGGCGCCCCCCCCCCCTTTTACACCCCCACCCTAGGGAAGTGCTACTGACTGAAGTGTCTTTAAGCCATTCCCAAAGAGGGGATATAATCTGGTTCTTATGCACAGTAGGATTGTAAATGGGCTGATTTATCAATGTCATACTCATACTGTGCGGGAAAACCACGCCTTGGCGCTCATATGACCTTATGCAGTTGCTTTACTTTACTTTTATCCGCCGCTTATACCCTTTTGGGTGTCGCGGGAAGAAAGAGACGTCTCTCTGTCGCCAGCTGGGGGTGTCGTGAGTGGTAAATGTATGCAGTAGTGAGCGCCGTAGAACCTTACTATAACGAAACCACTCGGGAATCCAAATCTAGCCTCCGACGAGCGATTGTGAAGTGCCTGCACGCCACACCACATACACCGGTCTGAGATCTAAGAATGTAGTCATATAGGCAAGCTTTTTGAACATGTCATCATCGAAAAGAACAAAACCAACAAAACTGCGAGTAAAGTATATATATATATAATATATATATATATACAGAGAGAGAGAGAGAGAGAGAGAGAGAGAGAGAGAGAGAGAGAGAGAGAGAGAGAGAGAGAGAGAGAGAGAGAGAGAGAGAGAAAGAGGCAGAGAGAAAGAGGCAGAGAGAAAGAGGCCGAGAGAGTGAGAGAGAGAGAAAGAAAGAGAGAGAGAGAGAGAGAGAGAGAGAGAGAGAGAGAGGGGGGGGGAGATAGAAGGGGACACAACATGAAAATGTTCCACAGGAATTTTAATTCAGTGCTAGACGCCATAAACAAAGAACAAACTAAACGATAGTGATGAACGAGATAGTCAGCGAGATAGACAGCAGTTAGTGGGTACCCTAGGAAGCATGCCAGTTTGTCACAGGCCTCGACTGTGCCCTGCATGATGGAAGTTATCGCTGACACTGTCATAAAGAGGAAATACATTATTGATTGATTGTATCAATTGATTTTTTTATTTCAAATTTTTTAAACGAAAGAACATTCATTGTTGAAATTTTACAGAGTGATTTGCTTTGATTTGCATACAAATAAACTCAGGTTTTGTATTTCAAAAATATAATTAACTAGCTGGGTACACGTTCGATGAACGTACTGAAAAGAATCGTCGATCATCAAGTCATTGAGGAAACAGTGCACGCAGCTTGTGAGCGGAAACCTCACTTGTTTACAATGGCGTCTTAGAAGACGGACTTTCCCAAGATTAGATCTAAACGAAACTAATGAAAAACTGAAAATTAAACTGCAGTGACTTCAGGATCCTCAATATAACTTTGCACCCTTTAAATGATTTTGAACCACCATTAATCTTATCAATTTCAAAAGTTCAGAGGTTCGGAAGTGACGAACTTTCCCAAATATATTACGTATAGATTAAAGGTTGACATGTGTGAGTTTGCCTGCCATTCCACGAGTAACTCGCCACACGTTTTTCATATATATATATATATATATATATATATATATATATATATATATATATATATATATATATATATATATATATATATATATTTATAATATGACCACAGCATAAATGTCTAATTTGATGTACCCTTCACAGGTGTGGGGGTTCGAGGGGGGGGGGGGTAGATAGACACAGAGATCATCTGATATCCACAATTGTGCCGGTACCCCTGCTGTGTTGGTGAATAATTGTTTGCTCTATCTCTGACCAAATCAGGTGAACGTAGGCGAGAGGACACAGAGAGAAACAATCATTATTCATTTCTTCACGCGGAAAAACCCAGCCCTTCATGTCGAAAAAACCTCAGTTGTTTTGTTCCCCCTCCCCATCCCCCCGAGAGTTCCGCTGTTTGTTTAGTTTGGTAAAAGTTTTACGGCGCTCGCAACTGCATAAGGAGATATTAGCACTTTCCGCTGTTGTAAAAGTAAAGTTGTTCCCACTTCCGATCTTTGGGGTGCCTTGATAGTCGAAGCAGACTTTGTGCTTTTGAGGCTAGAGAGGTGAGCAGAGTAAGCCTGATTCCTGTATGGACTTCTCTGTTGACACCCACCCCTTAGCGCTCATATGACCTTATGCATTTGCGAGTGCCGTAAAGCCTTACTAGAACTAAAGTCAAGTCTGGGAATAATAAGGTGGACAAAATAATATTATTACGCTAGGCGTGCTGAAAAACGAGTTACTTCTTGGACTTTGGCTCTATAACAATAACTTTGCCAAATTTATAGGTTGGATCTAGATTTGTATGAATTATTTTGTTGTTTGTTTGTTTTTGTAAAGTGTTTTAATGGCGCTCGCAACTGCATAAGGTCATATGAGCGCGCGGGACACACCTAATATTTTCAGTTCGTAGGAAATTTTGAATTTTGCCCGGGTGGCGGCCGAAGCCTACTCTTATCGATTTTACACCAACAAGGGATCTT